CAGTGTCTGAGATCCTCTTGGATTCACGTAGACCACTGGGATTACTGTCTAAAACTGGGGATATTGTTTAAAAAAAAAAAAAAAAAAGACTTGGTTAATTTGTTATTTTGAAAACCTGTTTTCCTATCTGAAAGTGTGTCATGTGTAGACAGATGCAAGAATATTTATTCAGACCCTGAGATTGTATTAGGATGTTATTGTTTACTTCGTAACCCCCCCACAAACACACACTTTTCCAATGGTACAGTTTTCTGCCAAAATCCAACCAACACGCATCAATTTGAACAAAGATCGCCATATTCTGTAGCCTTAATTAGAAGAAAATTGTAAACAGACGCACGCCTTTCTTAAGGGATTATCCATACTTTATGACAGAGCGTTTGAAGTCAGGAAGCTTTCTGAATCAGCATTGCTCAAGTGGGTCTCTTATAGGACATTGTTGTCTTCAATTATTTTCCCGTTATATACGTGTCTGTATGAAGCCAGGATATCATCTATTATTTAGAGATGCAATCGTTTCTGTTTATCAGGTCTTTTTTAAAAAGGGGTTATCTGTATGCATCACTTTTTTGATTAAACAGAACAAAGCGTAATAAAGCAAGAAGGGTTGAAATGGCTGCTCGTCTCTCCTGCTCCGCGGATTCCCGACCTTTATTGTCATTTAATGCGAGCGATGCCGAGCGAGAAAGAGATCTGAAGAGCAGCTGGCACTGTGCTACGCTAACACACAGGGAAATGGGTTTTACACAAGTTCTGTTACACAAATACACACACATTTGTACTGAAACTTTCTCTGAAGCGCTCTCTTGCACGCTATTGAACCCAGGTCTGCACAGAAGATACTTAGTCTTGCAAACAGTTTAGGCTTATGAGAGTTTCTAACACGGGTTTGTTCAGGTGCTGATTACGGCTGTGTCCCTTGAACTGAACTGGTTTCAGAGGGACGCACTTTCCTGTAATTTAATTGGACATTGGATGTCAGTGTTAGTAAGTTTGATATCTGACATATGGCTGTACTTAAAGTAATAGTTAAAAAAAAAAAAAGAATATTCTGGCATTATTTACTAACTTGTCATGCTAAACCTGTGTGACTTAAAAGGAGAAATTTTGAATACTGTGCAAGTCGCTCTTTTCCATGCAATTGAGGTGAATGGAAAGTCTCATATAAATACATTCTAAAAGTGTATTGTGTTAATATGAAAGAATTTAAAATATATGACACGTCCCAGTGCTTTGTAGACAAACAGGCCATTATTTGAGCCCATGGTTTCCAACCAGGGTGCCGGGGCCAACTTGGGGCCCCTAGTGTGCTCATGCTTACCATTGTTAAGGGAATTTTCACAGGCGAAATCCAGTCATTTTAATAGGAATCCATGCAATCTGGAATTTCGCTTGAGAATGAAACATTTTCTAATGCAGATTTTGCATCAGGTTCAGTTGGTCACAAATTTGACATGTTGACCAACATAAAGCTGCTTGGTTTGAAAGTGAATTTGTTGTGAATGGACGTTTTTTGTCCATTATTTTTATTATTATTATTTTTTTCCTGAAATTTTGCTAATGTGACCGCACATTTACAGGAAGTACGTTTTTAAAGTTGAGCCATTTTCATAGCAAAAAACCTTGCAGCTTCTTTTTTCCCCTATGTTTTCTTTCTCTAATCTCAGTTATAGACACATCCACTGGTGCTTAACTGTCCTTTGGAGACTCTGCTATTGGTGATTAGTGTGGCCTTGACATAAACGGCTGGATCAATACGTGATGTAAGCAGTCGGCCAAGATCACTTCCCCTGCCGTACGATGGCCTGGCTGGGTTCGGTCAACTCCTGGCTGATAAATTCAGGGTGACTGACCTTTGCTGACCTAGGCATTGCATATCAGACTGACCAGAGAGACTTGGGCTGTGGTGGCTGGTCACTGGGCTGATTCTATAATGAAGTGTTCAGTATTGCCTTCCTGTCAGTCAGTAATTAAAGGAAGAGATATGAAGTCTTAGATAGGTGTTGAATGGACAAGCGGGCCATTGGCTACAGAATGGCAATGAACAGGCAGTGGAGCAGTAAAGTGACATGTAAACTACTCTGATATGGACTGCTAATGGCTGACTGGAAGATAGATTAGACGGGCTGCCTGGGAGTGCTGTACACAACATAAACAGATCTTTAATCTATGTGACATTAAAACAATGTCCAAATAATTTATAAAAAATGTTAACATTTAAATAATTCCTAATTTAATTTAATTTAATGTTTTTAAAATAAAAAAATGTAGAAAATTATTTCATTATTATAAACATAATAATATCCTAAATTAGAAATATAATCAATAATATTAAAAGTTTTAGCCTGTTAAATGGCTGTAGTTTGTCATTGGATGAAAGAGTTTGTGTTGGTCTTGCATTGCTTGTGTTATACATGTGTACATACATATGGACTTTTTTTTATTATTTACTGTGGTTCATTCAGATTAGACCTGGTCATGTGGTACACACCCATATTTAGGGCTCTCTCAGTGCAGGTGAGGGGAATCCTGGGAATCCCGGCTTCCCAGTCATCCATGCAGCCAGCTGCCAGCACCTGAGACCTTGCACATTCCTCCGTCCACTAACTATTTAGTTGTCAGTGATTTGGTTAAGTGGAATTGACTTTTATCTTCACTGTGCTGTGGGGCTGCCACTGGCGATACACATTCCCCCATCCCTCAGCCGCCTGTCTGCTCTCAGCCCCTGTGTCACATCTAGCACATTGCTATTGGCAGCCGAGGAGCGGCTGATCAATAGCCCAGGTCAGGGATGGCCCACGGCCCTGTTGTGCTGCAGGCTGGGGTATTGATCCAGATCCACTCCGTCCCGCTGCTCCGCCCAGTGTAAGACCACAGTCTGCCCGGTGGAGAAGGTGCGAATGGGGAGGTATGGCCTGAGAGAGCACTGGATGCTTTTGTATGTAATGCACCCATGTCACTGAACTGCACTAGAAATATTTAGTGTTGTCCAACCAGTATAGTATGTTGTAATAGTTTGTCTTATTGCAGCAGACCTTTCTCATCATGTTGCAATATTGATTCATTGTATATTTAAAGGTGTAGAGCATAATTTATGTAATACTAGTGCCACCAAATAGAATTTCAAGACTGACTGTTTTCAGACAGGTTTCCCCATATACTGTATTATTGGCCAGACTAACAGATAGTCGTGCCATTTACATCACTTCCTGTCAGTCAGCCTCTGCGCAGAGCAAGTTTTTGAAAAAGAGACACTTTTTTTAAAATTTTTTTAAAGGAATTAAATAATGAAATTATTTAATGGGACTTACGGGAATAAAGAATGGGAAACGAAAAAAAAAAACATAATAAGAGCTAGAATTTATTGTAATATTTTTTTTTTAATGTACATATATACATTTTGATACAAAAAATAATATTTTTATTTTAAAATATGCACACTTTCACTCTTAATACCTAATATGTTGAAAATGGCTCCATTAATGTTTCTTCTTGCTTACATTTAGTCATGAATTACATGAATCACATACATTATAGCCTATATTTTCAATTCAAAATGGCAAAATGGTTGAGTAGTTTGCATCACTGCATATTACTGTGGGTTGTTTAACATTCCTATCATAATAAAACAGTTCTAGATATTCATTTAAGATATTAAATGATCTTAAATAGCTACTTACATTGTACCTCATGCTCTTTAACCATTAAAACTGAAGTGAACCGTAATGCCAGCCTTCTTTCATTTCATGACAAGCACTGTTATAGACTTTTGAGGCACACCAGCCTAAAACTAAAACAACAAAACAGAGCAGTGTCATGAATATAAAATATTGAAGGGGACAATTTGGCCGTTTCTAATTATTGACAGGTACTCTTCTGCCTCAGTGTCTATGGTGGTCACGGCCCTGGTGTAGAGACAGACCGGCGAATGTAGATGTAAGCCGGCATCGAAAAACTTCAGACCTCCACATTCCATCCATTCATCATCCCATCTCGGAACCCCTGCCGCACCTCCTCCTCCGTCCCCTCACCAGCTTTCCTGACTCGATTGCTTGTTTTTGTTGCAGTTTTAAGTGCCTCTCCCTGGAGCTCCTCATCAACAACTTAATAAGAGCTCTTGGGAACAATTAAACAGCATCTTTAACCCTGCTCTTTCCACAGAGGTAAAAATAATCATATAAATGTTGCCAAATAGAAGAGACTCCAGGGGGACCATTCAGAAATCACAGTCTGTCTCCTTCTCTGTCCTTTATTCCCTCAACTGAAGCCCAAGCAGCACAGGCGAGAACTGTCAGAGCCATAGCCTATGATAGACACATTTACTCGGCTTTCAATCCCAGCCCCATGTGGCGTTCCCCTTTGCTTCTCCCTCCTCCTTTTTTCTCTTTCAATGTTGGAACTGACATGTGAATAAATATGTACTGTGGCTTTGTTGTTGTGTATGAGAGATCTTCCGCAGAGTGCACAATTATGCATGTTATTACAGGAATATGTCTTGTTCTGGTTATGGGGAAAATTAAGTTTCTCCGGAAATCTTCTTTTTTATGGAGAGAAAGAGTCCCTTATGCCACAACAGGGAAAATTACTCAAAGAAATGCATTTATTGCTTAATGTAATCTGGAAAATCATAAGGTTTTGTCCTGCAGCAGTAATAAAAATAATTATATATTAATTTTCCGTTCTCTAAAACAGCTTATTACAGAATTCAAAAGACTTGATAGAAGCCATATTGTTCTGTGTCCTCCCCTCCTGAAAGAGATTTAGCCGGCTCTTTCTCAGGGGCAACGAGCAAGCAAAGCGAAAAATCTGCACTCACTTATGGAGCATAACTAACAATGGCCTCACCTCCTCTCAGCTCTGCTTTATAAAAGGCAAAGTGTGTGTTTGTACATTTCTTTGAGAATCTATTAAATGTGTTTCTTGTTTCATCCTTTGTTCGGTTGCATGAAAGAACTTTTGCTGTAAATGCTAATAGCATGTTTTTTTTTTCTTATCCCTAGGTGGCACCATCACTTCGAAAGGCTTTTCCACCGACTGTGGATGCTTCAAACCAAATCTCATAACCGGGTCTCGTAGCTTTGAAAAAACCTGGAAATACCTGGAATTATAGGACTACACTATCCCAAGCCCTTGCCAAGGGACCTACTAATGGTGCCCAGGCAGTGGATCTGAAAGCTTTACATTCCTCTTTACTTTTGAATATACCAACAGACCAAAAAAACAAAACAACAAAAACGATAGCTTTAGAACTAGCGATAGATTACGGCCATCCGCCTGCCATTGCACCAAACCTGCTGTGACCACAAGGGTTGTGACCTTTCTGGCGCCCACTTCAAACGGACACTTGAAAAGAAGGACGCGGTCAGAGAGGGCTTCCGAGCGGTGGCAACTGAAACCAAAAACCCCATCAGGTAAGGCTGTGAAGTCACTTCTTTTCCTGCTGGCAACACCCCCAAAGCTCCTCGGGGGCTTTTGAAGCCCAGATGGACTCCCTGCGTCCACACCCACATAGGCGGCTTCTCCTCCATGCTGGGCCTACAGGAGAGCCCACTGTAGATAAAGGCTTCCCGGGTTTGAAGACTCAATCACCTGTCTGCTGCTGTAGGATTAGAGGGAATGTGTGCTGATTGAATTTGTTTGTCTCAAAGATGCTTAGGTGCAGGGAAATCCTGGAAAGCGACTGAGAAGGAGATAGATAGATTGACTGACAGAAAAGAAAGAGTGCACAGATATACAGATACATGTTATCATTGCATATTTTCATCTACATAATGCAAGTTAGTCTGTGCTGCAGACATATTCTGAGTTCAATAAAAGTTCAACTAAGTCAATAGCACTTGATAACCACAAAAAAAATTATTTTGACTTGTCTTTCCTTTTCTTAAAAAAGAATGAATATATAAAAAATACAAACAAGACAATATATGTACGATTATTTTAATGTGAAAAAACTTTATATCTAATTTTGCAACTTCATTACAATTACAATGTGATGCTTAAAATCATAAAATGACCATAAAATGGTAAGAAAAACTTTACAGCTCAAATAATACACAGGAGAATTAATGTAACTGTGTTTATAAACTTCCACATTTCTGCTTTTAAAATCTTTCAGAAATTGGCCCCATTTAGTTCCATTGAAAGTGCCTCACTGTAACTTTTTTTTTTTTTTAAAGAAAGCCAGAGACGAGTTGAAATTACTTTTTTGCAGTAATCAACATAATGCCAAAAACGCTGTCGATTGAACTTAACTTGTATTAACCCAGAATATTCTTTTAATGCTTGTTCCTAGCATGAGAGTAATTTTTGTACGTCTATGATGAGAGATGCGTTATGAACAAATTTCTCACCTTGAGTATGAATACTGATTTAGTTTTTAGTGTTCCTCTGACCATTTCACCTGCGGTCGTTGCCTTATGGAGCTTTTTATGTCTGATCTGACTTTTAAAAAAGACTTTCATTGGGGTATTTGGTGATGATTAAATAATTTCTTTGATTTGAATAAAATCAGTTCGTTTAAACGTTTTCACATGGAGTACATTTTAGGTTAATTCTATAAACATTTTACAGTGTAGTTACAAAACAGCCACACAGTGCTGCCCCGGTGACTAGCATAATCGCGTGTAAATGTTAAGCAGTGATATTTTTGTTTTGCTAACATGACAGACACACATGCTCTTTAGCTGTTCAAAATGATGGTATCCGCTGCTCTCGGTGTAACCCTGAATGAAAGTAAATAGTGTTTATAGAATTAAGCATTTAAAAAGAAAAACAGACAGCCAAGGAGGTAGAACGCAAGACACTTTGGGGATCAGCCAGGTTCCGAGAAGAGAGCAGGGCCTTTGTTTGAAAAGTTCAAAGTAATTTTGCCAAATTTAGGTCATTTCACATTAGTACTCAGCGGGGAGCTGTCATTTGTGGGGAAAGAGAAAGCAAATAAATAAATAACAAAGCAGATTGTGCATCTTGCTCATAAAAAAATTAAATAAATAAATACAACACTTCAAAGCATTAAGCAAAAAAATCCATCTCTGTTAAACTAATTAGCGACTCCAAAATGGGCTCTGCGAAGGGCTACGTCAAAGGTATAGGGTTTGAGGGGTCATGCACGCTCACAACAGGACAAATGTAAGTCAGCAGAAGTCATAAGCGGTGAACGCCCCCATCAGGAGAGCGAATCTCCCCCCTCATTCCCTCCACCCATCCTCCCCTCCATCCGAGAGCGCTAATGGAACAGTGCTCTTAGCCCAGGGCTCCAGCACCAGACCCCGCTCTGCATGTGGGATGTAGTGCACTGCGGCTGGGGGTCGCTCCCTTTGAGCCGGCCCTCCTTGGCCTCGCGGTAAAAAGAGCCATGCATGATTTCATACATGAAAGATATATGTAATTGGACAGCAGCAATGCCTATACGCCATATTTACAATTCTAAACAGAAGATGGGAGAAGCAATTCCCTTTATCTCTCTTGGTCATAGTCTCTTTCTCTGTGAGGAATGAATTTCTGCATATCGCAGAGCCCATGATGTACAAAAATACATGAAATGCAGATTATCACACTTCTTATTTACTTTCATTATGGATGAGTTGAATGTGTCATTTTGACACAGCCAAGCGTCGCCTCGGTGTCCTGTCTCGTTGCTAGATCGCTTGGACAAAAATAGAGGAATTATTCCCGCTGGCCTCGCATTCAGACTAATACCGTGGCGGCGATGCTGTCGTCCAGTTCCTGAAAGGGACGTCCCGATGCTTTGTTTATCCGTGGAGAGATAGCGAATGCATTTGTGTGTTTGTGGCCTTCATAATGCATCTTTAATAATGCAGTATAATGGACATATTTGAGTTCTGAATAAGAATTTGGATTTTGCAAGACTAAATGGTTCGATTTAATGCTGGGGAACATATATGTAATTTATTTCGAAGTTCGCTTTTGACTTCACGCGGCAGAATCTGCTTTATGTGACATCTGACGTGTCTGTGTGGGTTGTGTTGGGGACACACACAGTCGTGTTGTTTTGGTGGGGTCTCTCCTGGAGTGTTAATGTAGTGCCAAGTTAAACACCTCTCTTGTTAATTGTCCTAACAAGCTCATGCTTTGCCGTGAACGGGTTTTTTAATGGCTTGTTTTATGGGCGTGTGGAGCTCCAAGGCTAGACGAGGTCTCCGCCGACCCTTACGGGGGCAGCGTACATGTGTTACTGGCTGTGATGCACAGCTTGTCCCCCTTTTGACGTCAACCCTACCCCCACCTCTGAATTTTGCAGATGCCCACCTGCCTCTGAGTCCTGGAGGTCACAGGGACGGGGGAAATGGCAGGGTTAAGCACCATGCAACTATGTTCCAGCCGCCGTTTTCACTTGCAATTATACCCCTGCAGCTACATCACCCACAAGTTGCAGGTTTTAGGCTTTGGCAGAATTTGCTGGTCCATGTTGCTCCACTTGGCCTTTTCCTTGTTCCTTAACTCCTCATTTTAATTAATATTCGTGTAATTACTTTCACGTTAAATTTATGAATTATGATGCTAAACACAATATGTATTTTATTTTTTACGTTTTTTTTTTCCAGTTTTATTTCATGTTCAACATAATTAGTGACACTTTTTTTTAATCATTTTAAATCACTAGTGCGTTCTTTTTTTCTTTTACATAAAACATCAATTTCAGACCATCTTAAACTATTGTTATGAATAATTTATTCATATATTTATTACATTTATAGATTAATATCAAATATGTTGTTATAATACAGTGCACGATTTGCTTGTTTGTACGTGCATGCTTTGTCTGTCTCATTTTACTTTTCAGTGATTCAGACTTCACACACTTGTATATAATTATCTTCATATTCAGAATTACTTAATTAAAAATATTTAATTTACATATTTAAGTATTTTACACATAATTACTTAAATATTATTTACAAGATATTTGGCAGCATAACTGTTGAAATATATAGTATTTGTTTGAAGTCCAGCACACACACACACACACACACACACACACACGAGGACATTAAACAAGACTGCATGGAAGAATATGTTGCCGGGTTTGTTCTTTCATTTGTCTTTGAAAATATTTGTCAACAAAATGTCATCTGTCTAATTTTTAAGCTAACTATTCATGACATTTGGGTCATGAAATCACCCTATTTCTCGGTTGGAAACTCGGGGTCTCTGCATTGAGATTAAATGATTTCTTGAGCAAAGCTTTGCACATAATCCTGCCATATATGTCAGATGATATAAGTGGGGTAGGATTTGCACAGTGACCCTTGGCGGGAGCCCTACATCTCTGTTGCCCTTCTGTGGCTGCTTCCACCTGCTATACATGAAACTTATGAGCCAGATGTGGATATATAGGCCTATATGCGCTTTGCTAAAGAAAAAATAATAATAATAATAATAATAATAAATATGTGTATTATATTATTTCATGGACAGGGGGCCATATTTGTTTATTAGTATGTTTCGTAGGAACTGGAATTGTTAAGGGCTGAATATTGTATGAATGTAGTGAAAGCGCAGAATTATTCATTTCAAATGGAGGCACAGGCCTGAAATACGCACATTGCATTGCATCTATATATCGCATGTTGATGTCGAGATGCGGGAAGACAATATTCACTTATCTGCTTTTTTTTCTTGATTCTTGAAATCTGCTTTAGATCATTTTGTTGCAGTGCATTTCGAACTGGACAGTGGTTTTATTTCAGCCTGCGTTATTCTCTTACCTGCACAAAGATCAAATGGAGGTTGCAGAGAATCGGAGGTGTGAGGATGAGCTGCTTTGCAGTTGTAGCTCCTCTGGACGCAGATTTGCTCCAGGCTGCTTTTCTTTCTGATTGTTGCACGACCGTGAACAGATGCATTTGTACTGCTTAACCGCACAGACAATGAATAGCCTATGATCCGTTCCTGGATTTTTAAAGGTGTATTTGAATGTGCTTCTGCTGTTTTCTTTAAGCTTATGCATTTACTGAGCAACATAAATGACTGTATATGTGAATGTGTGGGCGTGTTACTCGTGTTGTTCTGATGTCGATAAAAATAGAATTTTGCAAACAAAATACCGAAGTAAATTTTAGACTAAAATAATAATTGATAAGATGATCGGTGATGCACACAAATACACACACAGACACACACTCTCACTGACGCACGCAGGGTGATACACTGATATTATTCGATGAACACATTCACGTGTTCGGGGTTTTTTTCTCAGTATATATAAAGGGTTATAATCAAATCATGTTTTAAAATATTTTCCAATTGTATTATCCATTTCATACATCTAGACCTTTTTAGGCTGCTGAACAGGTTTCGACTGAAACCGAGCTTAATAACACCATATACATAATTTTACCAATCTGTATGCAGATACAATGTTTTTGAATATCTTGTGCAGAGGTTCGTT